TCCCATGCTTCCACAGTGTCATCTTTCCCACAGGGTCCTGCTGTCCCTGTTCCCCCTCGGCCGGGACACCCCAGCAGGGAGCTGCGTTCACTGATGTGCCGGTGCCGGTGTCACAGAGCTCAGCAAGGAGGTGCTGGCCCCAGAGCACCCAGCGGGGACTCCTCCCCACGGCCCGGCCCAGGACCCACCTGGAGGACCCCCGGAGGAACAGGGTGGCATCCCCTTCCCCAGTGCCAGCCTGCTGCAGGTCCCCTGGGGTTCCTGACTGCTAGTTGGGATCCTGTGCCTGCTCCTGGAGTCCCTGCCTGGCTTTGGGATCCCTGTCTGTCCCCTGGGGTTCCTGACTGCTCTTTGGGGTCTTGTGCCTGCTCCTGCGGTCCCTGCTTGTCTTTGGGGTCCCTGCCTGTCCCTTGCACCTCCTGCCTGCCCCCAGGGTCCCTTGCCTGTCCTTGGGGTCCCTGCCTGCTCCTGGGGTCCCCTGCTTGTCTTTGGGGTCCCCTGCTTGTCCCCTGCTCATAGCATCTCCTGCCAGCTCCTGGGGTCCCCTGTCTGGCCTCAGGTCCCTGCTTGTCCTTGGGGTCCCTGCCTGTCCACTGCCAGCCCCTGAGGTCCCTGCCAGTCCCTGGCATCCCCTGCCTGCTTCTGGGGTCCCCTGCCCAAAAGCATCTCCTGACAGCCTCTGGCATCCCCTGCTTGCCCTGAGCTGGTCATTGCCCCAGACGAGACCCTAATCACCCCTGGCTCCCCAGACCCTCGTCCCCCTCCCCCCCACCCGCAGCCCATCCCCGGGGTCTCTGGCCGGGTAGGCGCCCCAGCACGGGTGTGTGTCCCAGCACGGCCCCCTCCCGCAGAGCCCCTGAGTAGCATCTTCTCGCTGGAGGTGCACTTCGACCTGCTGGACCTGACGGAGCTGACCGACATGTCGGACCAGGAGCTGGCCGAGGTCTTCGCCGACTCCGACGAGGAGAACGCGGCCGGGGAACCGCCCAGCGGTGAGCGATGGGGCCTGTCCATCCGTCCATCCACCCCTTCGTCCATCTGTCCGGCCG